TATTGCTCGCATACCACCTACACACTTCTACTCTAAAGTTTATTTTTTATTTCTTTCATCTTTCAGTTATTTCAGTTATGCGATGGGGTATGCGAATTTCCGCATATTGCTCGCATACCACCTTCGCACTTCTACTCTAAAGTTTATTTTTATTTCTTTCATCTTTCAGTTATTTCAGTTATGCGATGGGGTATGCGAATTTCCGCCTATTGCTCGCATACCACCTTCGCACTTCTACTCGAAAGTTTATTTTTTATTTCTTTCATCATTCATCGTTTAATTTAGTTTATTTTTTTTCTTTCAGGTATGAGAAATTCCACATGCATACAACAAACAACAAAATTATAATAAAATGCAAAAAAATAATAATAAAAATGTATTACATGAATCATTAAAGAACTATTGTGTCTGGTTCTGTACTAAACTGAAAAATTTGTAGAGCAATTTTGTGCCTCATTGCTTTAGCCAACTGATAGTTAGATTTCTTGAAACACATCGTCCTCGTGAGCAATGTTCGTACCATCTCCACAGCGCATACACCACAATTAATTCTATCATATTGCAAGATAGTATTTTTGGGGTCCTTGAATTCCAATTCAAACTCTTTGCTCACTCTCTCTACATCTGCATACGTCGCAACCAATGGAATTGGATTTTGGATTTTTTGGAGTCCTTTGACGCGATTTTGGCAAATGTGCTCGTTCTTCTTTTCTAAATACGTATGCCGTAGAGGGTCAAACACACTTATCGTCCCCTTGAGTAAAGAGATCTTGATAGTCACGTAGTGGTTGGACAAATTACTACTCCAATAATCTGTTGCATTGAGTTGTGAGAAATTCACTAATTTTTTAGGAAAGATTGCAATATTAATTGATTCGGAATCATTGAAAACTTATATATTTAATCCCCTTCCAAGGACACGGATTCCCCCAACCGCTGACCCCCTCACTCGCAATGCGAATCAAAGATCGGAGGGCCTCCGATTCCAGGTCCACTCCCCCTTATCCATCTCCTTCTCCAATTCATCCAGCATCATCTATATAAAATACAACAAAATAATAAATAATAATGTTATTAATATAATTATTAATAAAAATGGAATGACAAGGAAAAGAGAAAGGATTAAAATAATCTCACAAAAAACGTAGTCGGCACGATGGTGTAAGTGCCCAACATATTTTGCAGTGGCTTCAAGTCCAAAAAGAGTGGATTGCTTTGCATAATCCCCAAGTATGCATTCACGTGTTGTTTTATAAAATCAAACCAGACATCATCCATCAATTCATAACATAGCACCTACCCTCTCTGAACGAGCTTTTATATGTTAAGATATTACAAGACAAACATATGCATACCTCGTCCTCCATCATTTCATTCAGATTAACCAATTCCTGAAACCACCCCTTGCCCACCTCATATGGAATGCCGACATTCCTCCTATTGGATGTACTTACATTTCCTTATTCGTGGATTTGAGGAACCGTTCAAACTCGCCCTTATTTTCGGCATACCGTCTGTTCTCCTCGGTTCGATATGCACTACTTACAACAGCACGTCCTAGTCGTCTTTGTCGATAAACTTTAATCTCCAAAGACGAGGACTGCGGAGAAGAAGTGGACTGCAACACCGGTGTCTCGGAGGTGGAGGGGGGAGCGACAGGTGTCTTGGAGGTGGTAGCGACGACTGTCTCAAGGAGGGGTGTCTCGGAGGTGGAGGTGCGAGCAACGGGTGTCTTGAAAGTGGTAGCGACGACTGTCTCAGAGAGGGGTGTCTCGGAAGTGGAGGTGTGAGCGACGGGTGTCTCGAGGGGGGGATTGAGGACGGCTGTCTCGGAGATGGAGGGGTTGGCGGCGGCTGTCTCAGAGGTTGGAGTGGAGGAACGTTGTCTCTTACGGGAGGGGGTGGGTGAATGCTGGCTATCATGGGAGGTGGAGGTGGAGGGGGAATCGACGACTGTCTCGAGGGGGGATTGGGGACGGCTGTCTCGAAGATGGAGGGGTTGGCGGCGGCTGTCTCGGAGATGGGAGTGGAGGAACGTTGTCTCTTACGGGAGTGGGTGGGGGAATGCTGGCTATCATGGGAGGTGGAGGTGGAGCGCTGTCTCTTACGGGAGGGGGTGGCAGAACGCTGTCTCGTTGAGTTGACGGCTGGCTCGGACTGGGGAGGGGGCTGTCCCAGATGGGGGTGCGACAGATTGGCCAACTCCTGTCGAATAATAGTAGGCACCTCCCGTAGAATGATTGTCGACACCTCAGAGGATATTTTGGCTATAACATTAGCCATTTCAGCCCGTATGCACGCGCGAATATCCTCAATAAAGGCCTATCCATCTTTGGCCTCGCCTCCTCTCGGTGCATACGGCGACTGGCCGGTTTAACCCGTCGCAAAGATCGAGGCCCCTGAACATTCAAGTTCGAGAGGTCCAATACGCCAATCTCATCCTCATTCAGCGGCAATGTCTCAATCACCTCCAACTAAATTTAAAAAAAATAGAACATAAAAATAAAGAAATCATCAGAAATCGTTGAGACTTAAAAAAGAATTTCGGATATCACTTGCTAACCATTCCAATAATAATAATAAAAAAAGATTAAGATCAAATAATACCTGTTGGTCAAAAAATGTATTTGGAAGTGTGACCTTCTTCAGATCCCAGCGAACCAGCCGTGGTGGACGTCTCACCGAGGTACATGCTCCACATGCAGGACCTAATGCAGGGATTGCCTCGTAGCACCATACTAGAAACGCCCAGTGAAATCCGTAAATATGATATTTCATATTATTGTACTGGGCCGTCTTCA